AGGATTCAGACCAAACAATAATGTATTATCATAACCAACAAGACAAATTAAGTCATATCTCTGGATACGCTTATGATATCAAAATGTTCCAGGTATCAAAATGTAGCTTTTAAATCCAGGAATCTGACCAAATTAGACTTAATCCTCATTTTGATATGATGGGTCACATTTATGATTCCTTCAAATGAGTCAAAGTGGAGATTAAAGACAAAAAWATAAAAGATTTTACTGATTTTCTGTATTTGATAAATATTTTGAGAAACAAAGACAGGTTTTAATGCAGTGGTTTCTAACTCACCAAGAATTGGATGTGTGAAGGCTACAAACTGTGCTAAACTGTTGCATGTCAGTTTTGTCTGTTTATTAGCAAAATATCTCACAGACTACTGGATAGAACTGACTGAAAACCCTCAACAACCGATTAAATTTTGAAGTCAACCCATGGTTGATCTCCACTCGTGACCTCACGAATTGCATCAATGATCTGCCTCTGTCAAATAATCTGGCAATCGGCGTGGATTATAAGGATCTAATGTGTATTTTTATCACTCGAGCCTCTGCTTCTACATCATTTAAAGAAGCTTAATAGTGATGTTTAAAATTTGTGTAACAAAAATATCACTTTTTGTGACATTGCACTAGAATGAATTTTCAGGTTAGCATGGATGCTACGAGTAAAATAAACAGTACAGTAAAAACTGTATAAGGTTTACTGTATCTGTTTAGGGATGGAAAGTGCAGAGATGGGATCAGGGGTGGTCCTATACTGGTCTTTTACTTTGGATGAAATATTTGGAGCAGTACTTAGTTGCACTTTTTTCTAGTCAAACCTAGCTTGTTCCATTGCTTGAATCCAGCTGTTAGCTAGACTGGAAAAGTGAAGAAAATACACCTTCCACGTGGGGATGATGGTTGTACCCTGAGTCACTGTTACAAATACCATGATAGCACAATGTTTTCTAATCCTCTCAGTGGAACTTGACGCCATTAAAGGGGCAATATCATGTAAAATAACTTTTTTGAGTTTTATATCATGTTATAATGTTATACTCTCATAAAAAATATGCCCAAAGCCTTGCTCTGACTCATTCATGCA